AAGATCACTTAATGATGAAGTATGTAGTTGGAATACATGGATAAATATACATTTGATAGCCTTACTTGAGAATAAAAAAGAAGAATGGAAATTGAATAAAGCAGAATTTTTTAATATTTGTTTAGAAGAGATCCAAAAAGATGGAGAAAATTCTAATTTAAAAGAAATGCGAAATCATTTAGTAATGAAAATAAAAGAAGAAAATAGTACCCATGCTACAGATAAATATAGTAGTATATTAGATAAATATAAAAATGAAGAGTGGTTTATTAATTTGAAGAAAGAATGGAAACAAGAACAAGAAAAACACTTAGAATATTTAGAAGAACATGAAATTAAAAAAATGACAGAATTGGGATTAAATAATATTATTCTAGATAAAAAAAAAAAAATATGGAAGAAATGGATAGAATGGCAAATAGAGCATTCATACAAATACAAAAATCAGAATTGGTTTATAAAATTGTTAGAAGAATATGAAAAAGAAGAAATTAATGAAAATTTAAAGGAAGAAAATATAGAGAAAGAAAGAAATAATGGAATAGATAAATGTGAAATAAAGAAAATTTTGGAAAGGAAAATTTTCTTAGATATTCATATGATGGTATTAGAGGAATGTATGAAAGAAGAGTTGGAAAAAGAAGAAGAATTTTATAAAACAAACATAATAGAGATAAGAAAATTTAAAAATTTGGACGAAGAAACAAATAAATTAGAAAAAATAGAGAGAGAAAGAAGTTCGAATGTTATATCAGAGAAAGAAAAAGAGGAAATAGAAAAATGGAAAAAAGAAAAATGGTTTATTGAGTTAATGTTAGAATGGAAAAATAATGAAGAAAAATATATGATGGAGATAAATGAAGAAATTTTAGCAAAAAAGGATCAAGGAAGAGTAATTGATATTATCTTAGAAAGACAAGGCAATATACGGAAAAAACACTGTGAAAATATTTGTAGAAAGTGGAAAGATGATGATAACAATGAAGAATGGTTTACAAAGTTAGTGAATGAATATGGAAATGAAGAGAAAGAATATAAAAGTAGAATTGATAAAAATAGTATAGAAAATAAAAAAGAAGATGTAAAAACCATAGAAAGAGATGAATCAGTAACAGAGTTTAATAAAAAGGGAGAAGAAAAAATGAGAAAATATGAAAGGAATAGTTTAGAGGAATCATATGAAAAGAGTAATTCTAAAATAAACAAAAAAAAATTAAAATGGAAGACTTTAATAGAAATATATATGGTAATATTGGAGGAATGTAGAAAAGAGGATTGGTTATTGAATAGAGGAAAATTTTTAGAAACCTGTTTAGAAGAATTTATAGAAGAAGATAAAGAAAAATATCCAAAAAAAATAGAAAATGATTTAGAAATGTTGAGAGAAGGAAAAGAAGACATTAGTACATTGATTATTGAGAAACAAAAACTTTTATGGAAAAAATGGGTAGAAAGAAACAAAAGAATGTCAGAGAAATGGAAAAATGAAGAATGGTATATTAATTTGAAAAAAGAATGGGAAAAAGAACAAGAAAAATGTGATGAATTAACAAAAGAATCAGAAATAACAGATATAGAAGCAGGAAAAAATCCTATGCTAGAGAAACAAAAAAGAATATGGAAACGATGGCTAAGAAAACAAAGAATGTGGTTTATACTACATAGCGAGGATGAATGGTTTAACAATTTATTGGAAGAATACGAAAAAGAAGAAGAACTTAAGGAAGGAATAACTAAAAAGGATGCGAAAGAAGTGAAGAAAATTCATGAAAATATAGAGGAATTGAAACAAGAAGGAGATGAAGAAATAAAGAAATATAAAAAAAAAGAAAAATTGATACAAAAAGTTTTGATAGAAATACATATGACACTATTAGAAGAATTTATGAAAGACGAATGGCAAAAAGAAAAAGAATATTTTTTTAGAACAATGATGGAAGAGTTGAAAATACAAGAAAATTTAGATGAACATGTTATCATATTGGAAATAAAAAAAAAAAGAAGTAGGAATGCTATATTAGATATTGAAAAAGTGGAAATAGAAAAATGGAAAAAGAAAAAATGGTTTATAGAGTTAATGTTGGAAATGAATAACAAGGAAAAAAAATACATAAAAGACATATATGAAGATATGATAGCAAAAAGGAATGAAGATGGAATTAAAAATCCCATGTTAGAAATGCAAAAAATTATATGGAAAAAACACTGTGAAGATATTCATAGGATTTTTTTTTTTTTTTTTTTTTTTTTTTTTTTTTTTTATCTTTTTAAATTTTTTTTTTTGTTAAATCCATATTAACTATTCAGGAAATATCCATTAAAATATATGATTTTTTTTTTTTTTATTTTTCTTGTTTATAGTAAAAACATTTTGAATAAAAATTACATTTAAAATTAAAATTAGTTTTTATTTTTTATAATTATATATATATATATATATATATATATATATATATTAAAATATTTAAAATATAAATTAAATTTTAAGGGCAAAATTTATATTTTTTTTTTTTTTTTAAATAATAATAAAAATATAA